GCTGTTGCAACACCCCCATAGTGCTGAGTAAACCATGGGCCCCAATAAGCAAACAACCATTAACCAATCAGATCCCAAATTGTGCGGTGTCGTCAAAAATCGATAAAAAAATCGTCAAAAATCTTAAACCGCATTCTGTGTGGAGCTGAATCCAAATGAAATACGGATTGTGGATCTGGTAACCTGCCACCGATCCCGAATTGTCAAAATTTTAAACCCTATATCCGTAAAAATACATTCTAATTTTGAGTCAGCTAAAATTGATTTCTTTGGAAAATGTACTCGATCTTAAGTTGATTTCAATTATTGTAAATTTGAAAATGGAATTTTTAGCCCTACTTTTGAACTACTTTCCCTCAGAATTTTTACGCTTTTTCTGATTTTTTATGGACAAAGAACAGTTACCTTTTGATTGTAGTAAATTGTCGTTAGATTTGTGTGAAATGTGTGATGATAATTGTTATCGTTAATGTTGTATCACGAAGTTTACTACACTACGTATTTCTTCAACTGGTGCAAATACCGTGTGAAATTGCGAAAAAGTAGAAATTTACTGTGAAGAATTTTTTTCTGAAGCTCATATTTTGAAACTTGCTTAAATCCATCATCGATTTTTTTAAATTTTATGGGCCAGATAACTGACCGATGCCATGACAACACCTATTCTTGAAATCTTGGCTCCAAATCTGCCGTATATTAATATTTAATTAAAACTAGTATAAATTCCGTTGAAGCGAGCCCATTTTAAGTAGTAACACTCGATTCCCTATCTAATTACTGGGTGACTTAGAGCCCAAATTCGCGTCAAACCCGATTATTTCAGGCCCCATTGTAAACAAGTTTAACAGGTGATAGTACGCAAGTTGAAGTTACATTCACTTCACGATAATCCATACGCTAGGCACGTGGAACAGAAGGTGTTATCGCGAGGACTGTAGTCTCTTCACTGCTTTCCAGGGTACTCAATCGCACGTCGTTGCATGCGGTCTTCTGCCATCCGACTGTTGAGCTATCAGTACCGGACCGGGCGCACTTTCATAGCCCTCTCGATGTTCCTTTCGATGGCGTCATTCGGGATCTACGTCTCCGAGGCGACTCAGTGGCCCAACGAAATTGAGAAGTGCGGTCACAAGGGACGGAAGCACCGACTGTTGGATTTCATCTTCAACATCTTCTTCCTCGTCCACTTCCTCACGCGCTGGGCAGCAGCGGACAACAAACTGGCCTTCTGGATAGAGCCGTTCTCCCTGCTCGACTACTGCACTGTCCCACCGACGTTGCTGGCGTTCGCGCTGAAACGCTCCTGGATGGGCCTGCGATTCATGCGAACCTTTAGGCTCTTCAACCTGGCGGAGGTTCTTCACAACCTCAACATCATCAAGTCAGCCTCGGCTCTGCGCTTCTGCCAGCTCTGCTCTTTCTTCTTCGCAATCTGGTTGGCTGGTAGGTTGGCTTATCGTGATTGGTGGAATTGCCTGTTTTGGATCCGCACTCAAAAGAAACCAATTGGAGAACCATAATATACCAATTCATTAAACTCTCAAATTTGTCCTAAATCGTCTTTGGTACAATCACAGTGATTTGTCAATGAAAGTGTGATTTATTAAAAGGTAGTCTAATCCACTCGAGTAATTTAAGTGATTTTGGACGTTTAGGACGTAGTTTAAAAATTAAAAGTGTGTAACTTTAATCGACTAAATGACAAACAACAGCGATAAACTTGCGAACAGATCCTAAACCTGAGCGAGAAGTTATTGATTTTGTGTTAGCGAGGCATTTTGAGGTGAATTTAACGTTCCCTGGATTTCCAGGCACTGATTGAGAAATCGATTATTTGAGTTAATGTCACTTCAAACAGCATTAAATGACAAACCGTTAACTCCGGATAGAGAACAAAATTAGAGGACGTTATGGAATCTGACAGAATTATTTTTTCCTGTTGTCAAAGTTGACATGAGAAAAAAAGAGTTTAACGCTTCAAATAAAGTCAACTGTTTAGGCAACAAGATGGTTTTGCTTGAAAACCTTACTCGTTAACATGTTTCCAATGAGGAATCGATTAATCAATTTAATGACGTGCAACAACGGAGGACTTGCAAACAGAGTCTAAACCTGAGCGATAAGTTATTGATTTTGTGCTAGCGTGGCATTTTGGGGTGAATTTTAACGTGCCCTGGATTTCCAGGCACCTATTGTGATATCGATTAATTGAGTTAATGTCATTTCAAGCAACGTTAAATGACAAAATATTAACTTCGGATGGAGAACAAAATTAGAAGACGTTATGGAATCTGACAATTCTTTTTTTCCTGTTGTCAAATTTGACAACATATGAAGAGTTTAACGCTTCAAATCAAGTCAACAGTTTCGGCAACAAAATAGGGAAATACACTGGTGCATTTTCTGGCGGTGAGGGCGGTGGTTATGCTTGAAAACCTTACTCGTTAACATATTTCGGATGAGAATTCGAGTAACTGCACTTTAAGATTCCATTTTCCACATGAAGCTCCGCCATGTTTGATGGAGTGAGAGGTACAAAACGGTAGTACGTTTACAGGTGCCGGGATGATCTACTTGCTGGAGAACACAGGTGATCCCTTCTATGTACCGCCCTACGGAAACGCCGTTCGCCTGAGCTACGGCCACTGCCTCTACTTCGCGATCGTGACGATGTCTACAGTCGGCTACGGTGATATTACACCTCAGACGGTGCTTGGCCGGATATTCACGTCGTTCTTCATACTGTGCGCGCTGGCCGCCTTCGCCTCGTGCATTCCGGAAATCGTGGAGATGTTCCTTTCCACCAGCAAGTACTCTGGCACGTACGCTTCACGGCCCGGACGCAGACACGTGGTGGTGTGTGGTGACGTGACCACCGAGTCGGTGAAACACTTCCTCGACGATTTCCTCCATCCCGACAGGCGTCGGACGGACGTGGAAGTGGTATTCATGAACAGATCCAAACCGGACTTGAGATTGCAGAGCCTGCTAAGGCGGCATTTCACACGAGTGAAGTACTTGGAAGTAAGCGATTATTGGTTTCTCTCTGGTACATTCATGCAAAATTCTAGAAGTAGAAGACAATGCCATTGTGAGTAAATCAAAGAATGCTCTTGTATGTTTTAAATAACACGCATTTTAACCACCGCGATGTTCAAGCCTACGAAAAATCAATAATTACTTGAGTGCAAGCTTACGAACCATGTCGTAATCACTACACCGGGATTTGAACAGCTAAGTTCTAGGACCGATCCAGACGCTGTGACTAAAATTCTCTTGAAATAATCCTATTTCGGCTTGATATTTTCACATTATTTTCGTTGTGATTTCAATTTGGTTTGAAGAAAAATGGAGTTACGTGATAGCACTGAAACTAAGAGGCCTTACTTTCAACATCAGTCGAAACGTTGGAGGTGTGCGTTACTGAGATAGAGGTGGCCGCTGTGGGACTTGTTGAACCATTTCTGAGATGACATCTTCTCTACGTGCGCCTCTTGAGGCTCTGAAGATGCCAGGCAAAATAAATACGACGGGGGATGATGGTGATGATGGTGGTGTTGGTGGCGGCGATGATGGATCAACTTGTTTGCAACGTGTGTGTGGATGGGTGTCGTGTCACCTGTGGTTGGCGGCCTACACAGTTTGGGTGAACCAGTAAAAGTACAAGTGACTGGCTGGCGTGAGTTGCAGTGAGTGGGGGTAGTGCACCGGGGCCACTGCGAAAATCTACGCCGAATACGTTACCCCGTGTTCCCGCGAAAATAAAGAAGACCGGAGTGGAGAAGGCACAACCGTTTACTAGACCGCTCAACCATGTTGTGTTGTGTACAATTACGGTTGAGTGGACATGTACAAAAACAAACACAGGTGTCTGTGAGGTCACATGACTAAAGCGGGTGGTGGTGGTGGTGGGACATGCTGAGTGGTTAATGAACCAGCGGCCTCACGTGACTAACGGGCACGCCGTAAAAGGGGGGACGTGTGCTGGAAGCTGCAAGGACTGGGTTAGTGGACATGACTCAACACGATTCACTACAAGGGTATGAACGTAAGAAAGCTGTGAAAATGGTGGGGGGGGGCAGTGGGCCTGTTAATGGACATGAAACAATAGGGTTCACCTTACACACAACACATTTTGAATGCTTGGCGCAAGCACTACCGAGAATGCTGGATTTTGTCTCCGGGATACCAGAATGTTTTAAATGTACACGTTTGAGGTGAAGCAAGGACATCTTTTAAGAGAAGAGTGAGCATTTTGCAATAACACGGACGCAATATCGACAAATGAAGTCGAACAGGCACGAACAGAACCGCTTCTCAAGGGGGAACATTTAATGGGAGGGTGCAATTGGAGTTGGACTGATTCCCGCACGTCGACATAGTGACGGGAACCTGGCGACCATCTACTGTTGTGGACCTGATTCAGGATGGTTGCTCGACAGCGGGAAAAGAGATCACGTGCTGTGGTGAATGGAGGCAGAGTCCAATTTGATTGGTCGAGAGGGCGAACAGACATTGGATGGTGGTAGATTCGTCCCACGCGTCGTTCGGCGCACCTCCTTCGTTGCGGTCGATTCACCATTTGCGGTGACGAGAATTGCTTGGCCACATACACCAAACCAAGTTGGAATCTGTGCTTCCATCCATCCATCTAACCTGAGATGTCTTCCATTGAACTGCATGAGACCCGCGAGAAGTGGGAACGAAGCTGCAATTTCTGCCCCCTTCAAAGTCTTGTTCTGAAACGAAATCAGCGGAACGATACATGCCGCGCAATTATCCCCAACTCCCGCCTGCTCCACGCTTTAAAGCACTCATTAGTTTCAAACCATGTCATTACATTTGTAAGAGATGCTGCAAGTAAATTGTTGGTTGTCTTGGGTCGCATGTAGCAGTTAGCTAGCTGAGTCCTCCCCCGGAGAATGATGTTGCGGTGCGTGAGTGCGTGCGTGCGTGTGTGCAAATGCGTCACAGAGACCAATCAGCTCGCGGTGGACTTGTTCTCAATTGATTCGGCTCAAGTGCTTTGTCTGACTGTCCACCGCACATGTGAGGTTCAAATGAATGTCACTGAAGGATGACCACACGAAATTTGCTGTAGTATTTCTGAACAAAGACTGTTCGTAAAATTTCGTCTAGGCAACACGTTGCGAATCTAATCAACACGTCGACGTGGAATGTTCACGAATCTCTTCGATAAATTAGACGAATTCTGGGCATTTTGATGTCCGTTTTCAGAGTAACAGGATGAAATGACTTGTGTCTAGTCTAGATCTGTGCTTGCGAAAAGTACAGTCACATGTTTGTGGAACTACAACAAACAATATAGATTAACGTGCTCTTGATTTTGTGCAGTTCATTTACACGTAAAATAAATCGCACTAAGGAATTGGATAGAGTAGTTCTGTGTGGGTCTGGATCTCAAAGGCCTTCAGGTCTGTTCGTCTAAATGACTACTTAACTATCCTCATTATTTAATCAACCATGCAAACCATATCACATTCTTCAAATCAACCACCGACTCACCCTATTGGCTCCTACCTTCTAGATGCGTGCTCTTATTTGTTGTTAAAATCCTATTTGAAGTATTGGAATGGGCACACATGATTGAGGTAGTCTACAACTCTCCACGAGGTCCTGCATTTGTTTCTGCATGAGTACGTCGGGACCATGGGTAACCAATGGGAAGGGAGCAGGAAAGGTCGTGGTCCTAACTTGAGAATGGCGTGCGTGAAATTGAATTAATTGTTTTTGGTTGGTGCAATGGAAGAATGGACCTGACCAATGGGATTAGGGCAGGAAAAACTGTGCGGTTGATTTGAAAATAATGTGCGTGGGAGAAGAAGCGCGTTGAATTCATTGCATGAATGCTCCAATAGTCAAAATATTAGAAATTTTCGAGTCACAAAGGTAAAGCGGTAATCTACAAAAGCAGCATGCAACTGACACTTCGTGAGTTAAACAGAAGGAGGGTTTAGGGTGTGAAGCCGGATGATCAAATATCGGTTTACCTGATTGGTTGAGGGCAAATGACCTTGATGACCCACATGAGCACAGCATGAAATGCTCTTGTGTTGAATTTTGCCAGGCGAATTTGTCCTGTACTTGTCAAATGCAACCTTCACATGCGTCACGACTGCATGCCCATGCCAAATTCACCCACGTGGATCGATGGTGAGGCAGGCT